GAACCATGGATTAATGTATTGTGAAGATGTGGTGTATCTTAGTTCCAAGTCAACACCCCGGGTCAACCCTAAAGCCAAGTAATCCTGTAGGGATTCTTCTTAAATTCTCTTATAATGATCTTACCTATTAAATGCTAGAGGTTAAGATCAATATGTGGAATTTCAAGTTGAATAAAAAGAAGAGTTTTGAATTTTTAATAGTGGGGTACCTCTTCTAGTTTTCTAAGACTAGTCAATAGGAAAGTCCTATGGCTAGACCTAGGCTACTAAAGAAGTTTTCTAGACCTCAACCAAAAGTGAGGTCAACACCCGGCTCGTATAATCAACCGTGATGTACCTTGACTATCTGAAAAAAAAACTGACTGCTAAGGATGCAACACCAAGTCTATGACTTTATTTATAGAGCGTACTAGACACAAAACCTAAAGAGAAGTAAATTGTTCAATTAATTCTTGATTTTGATGTCACTGATTGTTGAATAATCTTCTTTACATTATCGTGGTTATCATTATCAAGATGTAAAAAACTCAGGAAATTAATATGTGCACACCAATATTGTCGGCATGATTCTCAAAGCAATCGAACGACTAAAGATGATGACACAATAATCGAGACATGAAATTAAAGACACATGATATGAACTGATTATCTGAAAAATCAACAAACTGATCAAGTCCACCCTCGACGAATTCGATTGACATGCTCATATACAATCTCAATCAATGAAGCTCTCTAAAAGCAGACTGAACACAACCGATTGACCGACCGCTCGTATCTTGGCATAAATGACCTACACTAAGCTCTCGATTTGGTTGACCGAACCAGAACATATTAACTGGTTGATAACCGCTATATGCAAATTTAAATTGTAATATAAATTTATAATTAAATCATCATATTGATTGCATTAAGGACGGTTTACATAATTGTTCTTTTATTTCTGAAATTATACAAGAAGCCCTCCTATAAATAAGAGGCTCAACCATAAATAAATGGACTCTGGATTTGCGGACTTTTTAGGACCTATTAACTAAGAATTTTTACATTTCTTTTCTCTCTATTCCTCCTCCAGGCTCTAATTTTCGAGGCGTGAAAATATTTTTTCAAAAGATAATTATGAATTCAATAGATATAATAATAATAATAATAATAATAATATAATTAATGGTTTTTACGTAAAAACATCAAAAATAGGAATCATTTTTCATTTTTGATTGAGCGCGAATCCATTTAGATCACATGTCGTTAAATAAAATGATTTGAAATGATTATTTATTAACTGCGACTAATCCTCATCACTCAAAAGTGGGTGGACACCTGCAGTGCTTTTAAATTTTATTTACAGAGAGGAAAAAAAATTGACCCAGTTGTCTATTTGTCTTCGTCAAAACAAAATTAATAAATTGCATATCCGGTTATCCCATTAATTGAGACTCGGCTAAACCAATTCATTAAATGCCTGCCTTCTAAACTGTACGGTCTGTTTATATTAATATTAATAAATGAGAGGCCAATAAGCCTACAGCAGTACCCATATTGTCCTTACATAACTTTATGTTTTTTTATAAAAAAAACGGAAAGCTAAAGATACATTGCACGGAGTCTTGAGTGTTGAGAGAGAGCTGGCATGTTCCATGCATCTAACCATGTTGCACAATTAAAAAATATCAAACGGCTATTTGGAAATTAAAAAAGAAATCATACCATCCGTCCGATTCCATCTTCTGCCCATTCCCGTCCCCGTCCCCGTCCCCGTCCCCGTCCCCGTCCCCGTCCCCGTCCCCGGATTGCATTGTCGGTTAATAAATTAAAAAATAAATAAAGGAAATACAAAAAATAATAATAACAGCACTCAGAACAGTGAGATCGAATATTCATTCATGATCGCTACCCACCTCATCTCCCTCTCTTCCATTAGCCCTTCAACTCCGCGGCTCCTTTTTTGCCCTTTTTAGGGTTTTCCATCGGGTGAGCCCGGCGGAGGCGGTGATGCTATCGCTTGCTCTCTTCATTTTTCTTTCAGTTTTATTGGCTGCGATTTGCTTGCTTCTGACTGCACCTTTTCGGCGCGCTTCTGGACTACTGAACTTCCTTAGTCCGCACCCATGGCGGCTCTCCTCAACTTTCCTGGTAAGATTTTTTTTCTTTTTTTTTTTTTACTTCTTTCCTTTTGAAAGTAAGATCCTATGAGGATTGAATATCAAATCGATGTGCTTCAACTGTTGCTTTTTTCCCCCTTAATTACGAATCAATCCGTCAGTTTTTTCTTTTTTTGGGTTAAGTACCCCTTCGTTTTGGCGAGCGTTTCCTTTCAAGATGCATCTATTGTTGTTGTTAGCCTTGTTGTATGTTTCTTATTTGAGGAAAATAAAACTGAAAATATTGGGGAATCTCTCAAGTTATTGGGACGTGTACATCGTCGTGCCATATACCGCATGAATTTAATTCATTTTGTTCGTTTTGCCTTCATCCATTCTATGTATTGGATCAATGTGATTTCATTTTCTTTGGCAAGTCAGCTTTAGATCTGATCTCTTTTTCTTTGTAGATCAGTTCATGTTGAGTTGATTTGGCTCGTTTCTTATTCACACGTTAATACTCTCATTATGTTGATTTGGCTATTTTCTGGCGTTGATTGCTTTACCTCGCATCCGTTTTCATTTATCCACCATACCAGGGTAGAATTGTGATGATTTTTTCAGAATGGATCATTTATCTTCCTGCTTTTGTAATCTCAGGTGATGATGAAATCCGGCTTAGGGGGCTGCTTTGCTCAAATTTCATGGATTCGAGCCTTTTCATATCACTTGCACCGACCATGGATGCCTGTTATTCTTCTCGGAAGAAGAGGCGGTTCACGGCACCTTCCATCATAAGAGGAGAAGTGATGATGACTGCTCCTCTCTTAATGAAGCAGCTGACCAGCTGCACCATTGACATTCTCCCGGATGAATCTCTTTTTGAGATCTTCAGAAGGCTTCCAAGAAGCCAGGAAAGGAGCATTGCTTCATGTGTATCCAAACGATGGCTCATGCTACTAAGCAGCATCCAACCTTCAGAAGACATGGATATGCTGCAAAAAGAAAGAAACTCATTGAGCTCCTCTAGATTACATCTTCCCGATCTCAACTATCCTGATCCATCAGTACCAGGGAAAAACTTTAGTGTCGAGAGTGATGGATATTTAACCAGGTGCTTGGAGGCAGAGGAAGCAACTGATGTTAGACTCGCTGCAATTGCAGTTGGTAATGCTGGTCGCGGTGGTCTTGGCAAGCTGAAGATTAGAGGAGGTAATTCAACCTGCGAGGCTACTGATGTTGGGCTGTCTGCCATCGGACATGGTTGTCCTTTACTACGTGCTTTATCAATCTGGAAGATTCCTTTGATTACTGATGCAGGGCTTGCTGCCATTGCTGATGGATGCCCCTTGCTGGAGAACCTTGATCTTTACCAATGTCCCTTGATTACTGACAAGGGATTAAAAGTTATTGCACAGAAGTGTCCAAATTTGACATCTCTGACGATAGATTCCTGCTCAGGCATTGGCAATGATGGTCTCCAAGCAGTTGGCCATGGTTGTTCGAAGTTGTTTTCTGTTTCAATCAAAGATTGTCCGCTTGTGGGTGATAAAGGAGTCTCTAGCTTGGTGTCTTATGCCTCTTCATCCATAAGGAAGATAAAACTTCAGAATGTGAATATCAGCGACGTTTCACTAGCTGTCATTGGGCATTATGGAAAAGCTGTCACCAACATATCTCTTATTTTCCTGCAGAATGTAAGTGAGAGGGGCTTCTGGGTTATGGGGAATGCCTTTAACATGGTGAACTTAACTTCCTGCACAATCTCCTGCTGTCCTGGAATTACAGATCGGGGCTTAGAAGCTATTGCCAAGGGTTGCCCGAATCTAAAGCTTCTGAGCATCAAAAGGTCCAGTTACCTTTCTGATGCGGGGCTTAAATCTTTTACTGGCTATGCAAAAATGCTTGAAAGACTGCAACTAGAGGAATGTAATGGGATTACACTTGTAGGTGTTTTGGAAGGCCTTCTAAACTGTTATGCAAAGTTGAAGAGTCTAGCGTTAATAAAGTGCTTGGGAATCAAAGACATTACTTGCCATCCGGATGAGCTTCCTTCATGCATGTCACTAAATTCTCTGACGATTAGTGATTGTCCTGGTTTTACCAGCTTCAGCTTGCCTTTGGTTGGGAAGATCTGCCCCAACTTGCAACAAATTGACTTGAGTGGTCTTCTTGGTGTGACAGATTTTGGGCTTCTTCCACTGTTAGAGAACTCTGAATCTGAACTGGTCAAGGTGAACCTTGAAGGCTGTGTTAGTGTGTCTGATGCAAGCATTTCTGCTCTGGTTAAAGTACATGGAACTTCCCTGAAGTTTCTTAATCTTTATGGGTGCAAGGCGATCACTGACAAAAGCCTTTTTTCTATCTCAGCATACTGCTCAGTCCTGAATGATCTTGATGTTTCCTGGTGTAGCATCAGTGACTTTGGGGTTGCTGCAATTGCTTCTGCTGAGCAGCTAAACCTGCAGACTCTTTCACTTGCTGGTTGCACTGGAATTACAAAGAAGAGCCTCTCATTTTTGGAAAAAATGAAAGAATCCTTGAAGTGGTTAAATCTTCAACAGTGCAAGCTGATTAACTCTCGTGTGGTTGGATCTCTAGAGGAGAAGCTTTGGTGGTGTGACATCCTTTCCTAGTTCTGATTGGGGATTGGTGTCTTTCTAATTCAGCTCAAACAAAAAAACAAAAAAGGAGAGAGAAAACATGGTTCAGTAGTCTTAGTAGGTTATCTTCTACGGCCTTTTTTTTATTTTTTTTATTTTTGGCTCGTTGCAGTCATCAACGAACTTCCCTATCTTCAACATACTTTTCTACCAGGATAAGGAGAGCTTTCTGGGGAGTGTTGCAATTCCCTTATTTTCGCAGAATCTTTCCCCAAGGGAGAGTTCTGTTTCTTGGGGGGTTTGGCGGACATCAATTGGTGTGTTTTCCCTTGCTTTTCTTTGGTTCCTGAGATTGCAGTTGATTATTCCTGGTCCTTTTTCATAGTAGTTCGTCATTACTTCCATGTTTGGTATATTTTTATGCTCATGTATTGTTTCTAGTGGGGGTTTTCATATATAGGATCCCTCGTTATGCAGTGCATGAGTTGTAACCTCTTGGCCGCTCTATTGTTTTAGCCACGTCCTCGTATTTGACCTTGCTGGCTGGTCATCGCTCATCTTCTGGGTCAGTTTTTTAGTATTATTCCAGCTTTAGGTGCAACGCAGTTATTCTTAGTGCTGCGTTGTTTCATTGGCTTGATTAGCTGTGTGTGTTTGGTCGCATGTGTGCAGTTCCCTTTAGAAGCCTAGTTTTCTTGGGGTATTGGTAACGGCTGCTGATTCTATTAGCTCGCCCTAACTGCTCTCTTTGGGCTGTTTTTTTAAACCAAACCCTTTTTTCACAGGCATTTGCTATCGGACTGTAAGATGCTTTCTTCCTGTAAAATTCGCATGAATAAAGATGTTGCTGTTGTCGTCCTGTGATTTCTATAATAATCAATTTTTTAGTTTGTGATTCTGTTTTATCAGCTAGTTTTGATGAATTACTGAGACATCATTTCTGTTCCTGACATGGAACTTTATCAGATTCTCTACCGTTCTGCTAGTGAAATTTGACACGGTTGAAGTAACAATGTTAACATCTAGTTCTCATGCGTGTGAATATTTTGTGGATTATTGTGCTATATATGTGGCTCCGGTCATTGCCATCAATGTTCAACTTAGCAGATGGTTATAAAAGCTATTCACTCGCAATGTTTGGAGGCATTGTTATCCATCTTATTGAATGACATACATAATAGGCCGCAGTACAATAATAATAGTATATGTATAATCATTATCATGCTTGGCTTAGAAACAATGTTGAGAGGGCATTTGTGCGATGGTTTCCTTTGTAAGCGTTTGCAGTTCCCATTTCCCATAACTTCATAGCAAGAAATAATGGTGATACAGCATACTCTTCTCTCAAACAAGTTGATTGGTAGAGTACCAGCCACTCATACATTGTGGGTATGAATTTGGGTTTTTTTTTCATTTTGATTAATTATTACTGTTTAATTATTAACCTACAAGCAAATATTCAGCAAATCATATAAGATTATGTTCTGATTTCTGTACTTGCTTGTATTTACCCTCATGGACGTTTATTTCTCTTTTTCTCTCTTTTCAACTGAAAGAAAATAGAAATATATATTCTCTTGGGGGCCATCTTCACGAAAAATATTAGGTGCGCAGGGGGTGTCGTGCCTAATAACTTTTCCATCTTCACAGCTTTACTCATGGAGGCTGAAACAATCCGTAAAGATTTGATAATTAAGCATCAGTGGCGCTCTTACTTGCAGGTGAAGAGGTTCGCCCATTCATTATATTGATACTTAAATTCGTTGGAATTCAGACGCTAGACTGGTCTAAATTCTGCAATAAGGCTCAAACCTTTCTATAATTTATATAAACAAATAACGCATTGAAGATAGAGAAAACCAAACATTACAGCAATTTACAAAGCACGGGAACATAGACATGGACGGTCAAATTTAAAGGCTACGCAAGCCAATACAAGCGCACGAGTTCTTAGCCGCCATCCAATATTTGGAAAACCAAAAAATAAATAAACAAAGAAGAGGCGCTATAAAGTTCAATATAACATGAAAATCTTACATTTCCATCGTCTAATAACCATATAAATTATACAAACTTTATTTTAAATTTTTGGTAAACAACACTTCATTTTGTCTAGTTTGAAATGTTGATTCCAGAAAGACACATTTTCTAAGTATAGGGGTTGAAATAAAATGATATTTTAAATACAATATTATACAAATCATGAATATATTGGGAGCAGCAGCTGCGACGCATGGCTTCTGGGAAAAAAATAATAGTACGATTTGCATTGCTCTTTTATCAAAATTGTCAAAACTCAGGAGAATCAAAGAAATTGTTGGAGTGGCGGGGTTGGAAGGGTGGAATAGGTTGATATCCTTAAGGGAAAAATATTACATCAGTACTCGTACAATTATGTTCGAAATCTATTCATATGCGAACACGTGGAGGTGACAGAAAAATAAAAAAAAATCGCTTTAACACAGAAAAATATTCCTCCCATGTTATTACACATTATTTAGATGTTATTGTGGTTATATTCATGCGTTATTGTGTTCTGAAAATATTCTCGGCATTATAATAACACAATAACACATCAATACTATCACAATAACACATGAATAACCCAGAATAACACGGGAGGAATATTCTCCGGTATTACAGGGCTGGATCACAAGAAAGCGTGCACGTTTTCTTAAAGTCACGTGTCCGCATATGAGTGGACTCCGAACGTAGCTCTATATTAAGAGTCCTAATATAGACTCTTGAGCCAGTTGAGGTTGAGGTTGAGGTTGATTTTAGGATATATTGTGAGAAAATGTAAAAGCTTTAAGAAGCCTGATATCATCATATAGCTAATGTTAGAGAGAAAATTAGGATGAATACACTAAAATAATTTCTCAATTAACAGGAAATTTTCATAAAAAAATATAATAATATTATCAATTTTTTTTTCCAAATGATAGCTCAATTAAAAGAACAATTTTCATTAAAAAAAATATTTGACTAGCCATCAAATATGCATTTTAAGTATCACAGCTCCCGCTGGTTCCACCGGATCAGCAATTTGATCGCAAACCAGCAAAAGCAGCAAATCATCGTTCAATATGTGAGTCTCTCATGGGCATCAAACGCATTATATATCACATCCTTAATAAAAAGAAAAAAAAAACAAATTTACCCTAAAAACCTGAGGGTAAATTGTCATTTTAGTACTGTATAGCTAAACTTAAAAGGAAAAATACCCATTAAAAAACATCGAACAACATGCAGCCAGCCTACCATCTAAACTAACAAAGCTGCAGACAACCAAAAAATAATCCCAGCATCAAAGCAGGTGATGATTAAGATTTGACAGAACAGCCAAAGAAAAACCTTTTAACCTTCAACCTGACCACCATCCTCTACTGCAGAATGGCTTCCATCAGATTGTGCATGGTTGCCAGAATCCTGCTCCAATTCTCCGGCAAAAACTTCTGATTGCAGAAATGGAGCAAAGTTATTCAGATGGAGCCATGTCAATTCCCACAAACTATCACCGCCTATTGTGCTCCTTTTTGCAAGAATCCCCTTTGATTTCATCACGAGCAACATGTTCTTCAGCAATTCAGGGACCAATTCTTGAAGTTTCTCACTTCTTTTGCCTCTAACTTTTACCTTTATATATTTCTCCATGCGACTAAGAACCCCCAGCCATAGCTTGCAGAAGCTGCTCAGCCCAGAAAGCTCCTGTAATAGCTGCAAGAATATCCTGGAGAGTAACTTCATGGCATGCATAAGTGTTCCCTCCATATTTCGGTAATCCTTCTGTGATTGGCTCTGAGCGATTTCAAGCAAGTCATCAAGCATCATGAATATAACACTCTCAAAAGAATGCAACCACGATGCGGGCAACAAGCATATCCCATCAACTCCTGACAAACATTTCTGCAATGATGACAAGGCATGATTTCTTACTTCCTCTCTCTGATCAAGTGTCAGCCTTTTCAGTGCTTGAACAAGCTTGAGCCACATGTCCCGAATTCCTTCCGATAAATTTTCAGCTTCATCTCCTGCATCTTTAATCTCTTGAGACCAGCGAACAAGACAGATGGTGGACTCGGCCATGAGATCTAGAGCATGTGTAGATCGATCAGTATGCCCAACACGAGATTCGGCAAACTGTCGTGATGCTTCAATGCAAAGAAGATAGTTGGCTGGCGAGAGGTGAGAGCCTTCAGACATGATAAACGTCAGTGCTTCAAAACCAACCTCTGAAGCTTCAGTGTGACGAGCGGTGATGGATAGTAATGATGTAATTGTCTTCCAACCCATCTGAGATTTTATGTGAGTAGCATTTGCTTTCACCAAACGTGAAACTTCCTGTGTAATGTTCTCACAGTAAGCATCAGCCACACGAGCATCAAGCTTTAGGACTAACTGCAGTGACCTTAAAAGCTCATCAGCCAGGTTCTCTTTATATGGGAGTAGCCGCTGACAGATTCTGAGGATTCCAAATACTGCCTTCTCCACAAGAGCGCTAGGCATCACAGTAGACTGAACTATGTTGGCTATGTGTTCGTACACAGTTTGCCAGAGATGAAAAATTCTATCTCGATTATTCAAAGTGATGGCAATGAGCAGCTCCAGGCAGAAAACAGCTGTATCCTCATCATCAGGGGAACTAGTAACCTTCTGAGGCCTACCAGCTGCCCAGATAAGGGCCCTGGCAAGCTGCAACAGCGAATCAGCATGAAGGAACTTGCTCTCGGTGAATATGCTGTCTATGTGACACTTCTGAATTGTCTGAAGCGTTCTCTGATGAGCAGCTAATTGCTGTTCGGTTGGTTGTGTTCTTGGTTCCTCCGTGTCAAGAGATAGTAACTGACTAAACCTTCCCATCAGCCCAGATGACCTGCGAGGGGTACCCATTGAAGGAATGTGGGATGTAGCGAGAGAGTTCAGAGCAGGTTTCCCATGAGTAGTATCTGCCAGCAGTTCTGTATCATCAGCTGCATCACTAGCTACACGTGCAGGAAGAAGGCCAAGCTTGTGCAGTCTTAAGATGCAGTCAAGGATATTTCTCCAACCAGTGCGTATATGATCACCATATGTGTTTGCAATGATGAAAACTGTCTCAGTTGCCAACCTAGCTTTGGTGTCATCCCCAAATGCGGTAACTGGTTCCTCCGCCATAGATGCATTCAGAAGGGTTGTGAACTTGCATAGTGATACAACAAGATCATCTAAAACATCTTCAAGATGATGGTATGCTGATATTTTAGCCACAGCAAGGAAGCCATCCACACAGGCCAGAAAAACATCTTCATGCTCTGCATAATCAAACACAACGGAGATAGCAGCAATTGTTGGGCCTGACATGATGGCAAACATATCATGATCAAGGTATGGCAGAGAATCACAGACAATATAAGGAGTAGTCTTTTTTGACTTCCTCAGTAGATCAATCCAGCGGCTTGGAGACATCTCTGGAAAACCAATACCTGGATCAGGAGTGGTCCTTATTTCATTCTTGCATATAGAATGGTACAGCTCTGACAAGTATTCCCTGGGAAGGTCATTCCCACCATTAATGTGACGATTGTTCCGAATGAAGTCCTCTTCTGTCATCTTCTTCTTTACTTGTACATTGTGCTGATCCGTATTGAGCATTATGAGCGAGTATGACAATAGGAGGGCTGCATCCTTATTAGCTAGAATATGGGGTGACTGTTCATAGTACCTCTCAGAGAAAGCCTCAAGCACCCTTTGTATCTTTTGTGACTCACCAGGTAAGCGGAACGTCTCCAGAAAGAGTCTTAAGGCAGTATCCAGATTCATATCCTGGAAATCGAAGGTGCCAGCAAATTCATGAAGAACCTGTACACAAAAATCATCGTGGTTGCCCAGGAAATCCCCAACAAGATTTTTATCCAAGCCAGCGGTGTATCTGAAAAAGCATGCCACGCTCTGAGGGTCCAGCTTCTCAGGCAAAAGATGGTTTCCCTGCAGAAACTCAAGACCCTTCTTTGGATCCCTATTGAAGTGATCAGCCCCAATCATTAACCTTCTCTTGATGTACTTCTTGCAACGAACAAATTTTAGCCATTGCTCAGGATCAGAATAGTTTTCGCACTTCACTGTCCAGAATGGAGTATACTCATCTAGTTCCAAAGGAGATTGTTGTGACCTAGGTGGTGCGTTGTTAATTCTATCAGCCATTCGCTGAATTACAGCAATAAGGCCTTCCAAAGATAGAATATGCATAGTAGATAATGGACAATTGACAGGGAAGGCACTCCTTGAGAGAAGATTGGCAAGGTCTTCAAAGACATTGCTGCAAGTTATGTCACAGTCCAGGTTAGCATACATTTCTGCCATGAATGTCTTCTGCCTGCAGAAGTCGACAAGAGCTTCCATAGCCACTTCTTGCTGGTGGAAACTAGCCCCATACTTGCCCTGTGCTAGCCTCAAGATCACACAGGAGAAGAATGCTTCAATTTGAAGTTTAAGCTCTATACGCAAGTGACAATAAAGATTCAGAACAATACTGCACACGGTGGACAGGATTAATGGACTCATTGACAGGCCAAACTGCATTAAATTCCTGAAAAGCTCATCCTGTATCAAAGCAAGTAGCTTAGGATGTTTTCTTATTGAAGATCCACCCAATTCAATAGCTGAGTTTATCATTCCAAGAGCAAAAAGCGGCACATCTTCATCTAGGGCCATTGGGCTTGTCCTGGGACTCATTCCAATTTGTTCAACAATATTCAATAAAGAGCACAGGAAGTGGAATATCTCCACCATACAAGGTATACCATATGGCTCGACCATTAGCTTCATACCGTTTGGCATTTCCAACCTCACAGTCGTATCATCTGCTGGGACTGCCAAGGAGCCATAATTCCAATTACCATTCTCCATTTGACTCATTCCAAAGGCCTGATTCTTCTCAACACCAGCCACCTGCACAAATACAAGGAGCTTAATCTTCTTATCAATCACAACCCAAATAAAATATGAATTAAGAAGATCAATGCAATCGTCAAAATTTAAGGAGTAGGATTAGGGTTATTTCTCTTTCTTATGGAACACAATCCCTATTCCTCACTCAGTGCGAGTGCAAGACAGTCACCCCTTTTCTTTAGGGAATAGTCAAATCCTAATTCAATCACCAAATGGGAAAATAACAAAAATAAAAAGATCGACACATAAAACACTCCAAAAAATCGTATGATAAGATTACTTTATGCTTCCACTTTTTTTTCAAATATGAAATACTATCTCCTAAATTCTAAACAATTACATTCTTAGAATTGGCGTAGTACCCAAAAACCTAGCTAAGGCAATTTGAGATAGCAAATCCCCATACTATATTTGTATGATAAGATTGCGAGAGCATGAATCTTGGAGCAAAACATGAGTACACGACAAATGAAATGGACCCGCGATCACAGTGTACTAAGATCAGTCAACAAACCAATTTAGATTATTAGAAGGAAAATCAAGGCCAAAGTCAGAGGGAACACCTCAGAACTCTGCTAGGCCGTTTATCTAGTCAACGGGTTGATCAACATGATGACCGAACGAGGGATGGCCATAAAAGTAGCCGAACAAAAGATACCCACAGGGCGAACCGAATGAAAGATGGTCTACCACCAAGCGAACAAGGAAAGAGAATTAGAGTTTGAGGGGAAGCCATAGACAAGCTCAACCGAGGAGTCTTCATATGACCCCCACGTGGTTCGGCCTATCACTATCGAATGAATAAGTGTGGTTCAACGAGCGAAAGAATACTGTTGTCAACCAAAGATTTATTTATCAGCATATTTAAATATGTTGTATAAATGACTCTAATACCCCTAAGTTTCTTTGTATGGAGAGAGGGGGGGCATAAAGGTAATTGTATATTCAGGATGCCTCCAATGTCTACAAATAAGAGAACATTTCATGAAGAAAAACCCTAGACACTATTATTTTTACTATTCAACTCCTTTAACTTACTCGTCATCACCTTCCTTGCACGATCTACTCCTTGGGTGTGATTCCCGGACATTTCTGGATTCAACATACAAAAAGATGAGGAACGTGGAATCGTGCCACCAACAAGAAGATGAGCGCATCACAATGAAAAGCAGTCGTTCAGGAGGCAAGGAGCCAAGCAATAGATGCGGATAGCATAAGGGAGGTTGTGCAACAGCAATTAAGGGAAATGAATGAATAGTTGATGTTAGAAATGAAGGAACAGATGGTGGGCGCTTTTCAAGAAGCCCTAGCCAGTGGAAGCCAAAACCCTCAAGAATATAGCCGCCAAGAGCCTGATCGTCGGGATGGACCGACGACCAACGATAGGCGAGATGGACCGGTACCCAACAGTCGAAAATCTCAGACAATGGAAGAAAAGAGTGACGATTCTCGTTACCAAGGTAGCGCCGGATTGGCCCCGGTAGAAAGACACCACCCTATGCGGACCACAACCCTCCTTTATGTTGAAAATGCCTTCTCTCTGTAGATTTCTGAGGTCGAACCCCAAAAAAAGTTCAAAACCCCCAACCTTGACTCGGATAAGGATCTCACCGACCAAGCCGATCATGTAGCCGCTCTTGAGAAGGCCGTCAAAATATTGAAAATCACCGCTCATTCAAATGACGCTTATTTCTTACATGCTGAGGGAGTCGGCCCTACGGTGATTCAATGCCCTCCCGACGGGAATCATCCCCTCTTTCTTCGAATTTAAATGGTTATTTGCAGCCCACTCTGTGAGAGCGCAAAATCCGCGGAAGAAGTCTCAAGCTCTCCTACTGATCAAACAAAAGGGAGAGACTCTTCGTTCATACATCACAAGGTTCCAACTAGAAATGTCAGAGACGCAGAACCTAGAGCCCCTCATCTCGCAGACCGCCCTGAATCAGTGAGTAATAAGCAAGCATTTCAAGTATGCTCTATGACTGCGAGAACCAAAATCAATGGCCGAGCTACTAGAAATGACCAAACACCATATCACCGCAGATGAATATGTCCTCAACGATCAAGGAGAGGCCCAAAAATCAGCCGTCAATGCTCGGTCACAAAAGAGAGCACTGATAGACGACGGTGGGGTAGAAAAGGAAGGTCCTCGCCCTCCCACTTGTCCTCGCTATGAAAACCAACAACCACACCACGAAAAGAAAGGGAACATCAAGGTTAACAATCGAGATAGACGGTCTCAGTACCCTGATCAACGATCGACCCACCAAAGTGAACGACCACCAACGCAGCAGGAGCCATTCAAAATGAACCCCTAAGAATTTTGATGACCAAGCTCGTAGAGTCCATCCAAGATAAGGAATACTTCAAAAAACCTCAGCCAATGAGGGCCAAAAGTTTAGCTAGAAATTTAAACAAGTTTTGTGCCTACCGCAGAGACCACGACCATGACACCGAAGAATACAGGCCCCTCGGGAGCCTCGTCGAGGACTTGATCAAGGCTAGAAAACTGAAAGGATTTGTAGCTGCTGGAACAACCACTTGCTGACAGGGAAAAGCTCCAGCTAACAATGCGTACGATGAACCCGTCCGAACCAACATCATCTGAATCACATGAACAATACCAGCGATACTCGGATAAGTTGGGAAATCTTCCCAACAATCGAGCCTAAAAAAAGCCACATCCTTCCATCGTGTTCACTAAAGGCCTGCCGGCGAAAGGTAAACCCTATAACGACGTCATTGTGATTACACTTTTAATTAACGACTACCATGTGAGAAGTACACTCATCAACACAGGGAGCTCAGTGAACAATTTCGTCAAAGTAGTGTTCAACAGGGTAAGTATACGACAAGGGAACATCTTTGACGTATATGCTTGACATATCCTAGCAAAATTTGTCGCACAAAGGTTTTCCACATTCTTTCTCTTATTTGTCCGTCTTTGTTGTATGTCCCGCCTTTCCGGTTCCTTTCTCCTCCTGATAATTAACATCATCCGGAAAAGAGACTTTTTCGAAAAAGGAAAGTATATGACGATGGACAAACTGGCGACACTTTTAAAAATAAAAAAAGAAATGAACGAAAAATTAGTCTGAGCAACTGGGGAACTCAAAACCTAAAGACTCGTTTTCGGGGCGAGCAACGTAAGGACTCCTTTCCGCGGCGAGCAACCTAAGGACTCCCTTCCGGGGCGAGCAACCTAGAAACTTACCTCCACACCACAAGCGATCAAATATCCTTAAAAAAAGAGAGGAAAAATACCTAACTTCGTCACCACGGCGAACATACGATAAAAGAAAGTACGAAACACAAACAAGACATATATATAGAAGAAATCAAACAAAAGATTTATATTTACTTAATCTTCATCATTACACGAGTTGTGTTTCCACTTTACAAAAAAAGAAAAAAAAAGAAATCTCTAGCCACAAAAAATTTAAGGAGTGGGAGTTGAAGATTCACCTTCTTAGAGTGACTGCCTTTGATCCTTGGCAGACTTCCTGGCTGAAAGGGACGGAGTCGACAAAAGCTTGGCAAATTCACTCAAATTTGCGTACTTTGGGCTGAACATTCCCAACCAAACCAACTAATCGATAGCAATTTAATGTAAAGCCAAAACTGGTTCACCAGTTCCTCGACGTGTGCCTCGACAGTGACTGACGAGGCAACCTTTGCAGATAAGTTGTCGTTCTCCTCAAGCACAACCAAGAGCCATTTTGAAGCTCTTGCTAAGCTATTCTCCGCTTCAATAATGCGAGCCTCGGCCTCTTCTACCTGTTGTAAGGACTTCTTCAAATGAGCCTTGACAACTTTCGCTTTCTTCCTCGCTCGAGCAGCTTCAGCCACAGTGTCAACGTGTAAGTTGGACAAGTAACGAGATAACACCATCTCCAACAACTGGTACTTGTCAACCAGACAACATAGCTCTGAGGGCTAAGGTTGTCCAAGTTGTCCTTAAAACTCGTGAACCATAGCATGTCTGCACACTTTGTAGCATGAAACTCCACTCTCGAACCACGCTCGAACTAGTCCTATTGCAGGTCAATGAGGGCGAACCGAGAATCCCTCGAGACGAAAGCTTTTGGTCCCTCCTGCATTGGGGTCCATTCGTCGCTACCCCCAGGGAGAGAGGCGAAGGGCGAATCCTCACTATCCACGGTCTCTTTCCCCTCCGTTCGACGGGACCTCTCAGGGACCAAGGAACTGCTTTCGGTTTTGTACAAGGAATGCTCCCACCTCGATCAAATATAAGACTTCTGGTTGCCGCCTCCAAATTGGCCCCATACCCAAAGCCTGCTTTGTGTAGATCCACGCTCTGGTCAGGACCCTATTCTTCGCATGTTGCAGGAACTGGGTTGGCCAACTTGCTCTTCCCTCTTAGCAAGGTCGATGAAACCTGATGCTTTGGACCGAGGATCTTCTTGAGCACCAACTGATTTGTAGTCTGAAACGGGCTTAACATTAGATCTCAGAATGAAAGGAGTTGCGGCATCACCGCACCCCACATCACCTGTAAGAAAGGAAGGCTTTCTTTCAATTAAGGGTAGCTCACCAGTCAAAATCTGTAAATCTGTTGGATAACAAAGGTCGTTTCAGAGGTAAAAATGAGAAGGTCCAGACCTGGGTTCTTCGTTGGATGCACTTTTTACCCCTCCTTCAATGGTTTCTTCATTCTTGGCTCCTTCATGGAAGCCTTGGCCACCTTATTAATTCGTCGCTTCGACTCCTGGGCATCAGATGTGGCCCACAACTCTGGGGTGATCCGACCATACTTTCTTAGGTTCAAAACACTATTAACTACGGCCTCGTGAGTAAACTGGACAACAGAGAGACCTTTTTCTTCAATGGATGACACCAAACCTCGCATCTAGGGAGAAAGTATTTGTCCCTTGTAAGGTTCCCCAGATGGGCAAGTGAGAATTTCCCAGTCCTTTGCCGACACCAAGAGAAAGTTGTGCTTCCAGTTCTTGGCCTTGTTCTTCAGATCGATTAGCTAAATTTTTCTATTCGAGGTAAAGTTTACGTAGCCGTCCGAATCAACTCTAAAGGAGAACATATGAGAGAACACTCCATTGACCGAGAGATCTCCATCTTGCGATAGAAAATGATGAAAGTCATAACCGCCGCTATGCATTTCGGCTTAAGTTGAGTCGGAATAACGCCATAGTGATTCAGAATGGTCTAAAGCTCGTGGCAGAGAGGAAGTCAAAGCCCTTGAACAAATTGATCGCAATACAACATGAATCGCCCCTTGTCAGTCGCCTAGTCGTTTGGACCCGGAGCCTCCACTACCATACCATCCTAGTAGACATATCTCCTCTAGAGCCTTGAAACCTCGTTAGAGGACAACGCAAAACGCTACGATGCCAACACCTTCCCGAACTCATGGGGTGAGTATTTGGAAGCCATATGTACACTCGACGAGAAAATAAATAGAGAACAGCCGAACAAACTTAAGAAGGGAAAAAGTGATGCGTGAGGGAACTCCAATCCTATTTATAGGGTTCAAAAAGAGGTGGTAGCGCCGCTGACATTACATTGGAAACAAAAATCTCGCGTCACATCACAAGAAAGGAAAAATCAAAATATTCTTTAAAATGAAAAAGAAAACATGGGAATTGAAATATGTATTCATTCATAGAGGATAAATTTTACAACCAGCTCAACGGTCGCTGCGGCAAAACCAACCCTTGCCTCAGCAATTCCTTATACAAGACTCTACCTCCAACTTAAAACCTATCAACACAATTGGCTTCAGCCTGGAATCGAGAAACCGAACAAGCCTCCTTAATGTCTACCAGATCCATCCACAGGTGAACAATCTCCATTTAAAGGACCGCAGTCTCGGTCTGATGATCCGCCACATCAACCTTGAGGTCGAGGAGTTTCTCTGACACCTTCTCAGAAAGGGCACCCAACTGCGCCTTCAACTCCCATATATTTGACTCTCATTGTGCCTCAGCTTCCTTCGGAGCCTAGGCCTCATGAGCGAAGAAGTCTGTCGTCTCGTCCATACGGCGAACCACGGAATCAGTTGACTCCCTTTCGAAGGCACTGAAGCATTCTCCGCAGTCTTCCGAGGAGTCGACGCTCGACCCCCGACAACCTTCGACAAGTCAGAGACACGAATCAGATTTTCTACATAACAAAGAAGAATTCAAGATGGGCGAAGGACAAAATCATTTCGGCAAATAAGTCAACAATCGAACTCCTACCAAAGAGTAAATACAACAGACCAACGCAAGGTTGAGAAACTCTCACCAAGCATAGGTGGAGAAGGCACAGCTCCCATCTCCTTGATCTGAGATGGATCAGTCGCATCCTTATCCCCACGCGGCGCACCCACAGAAGTTTGTCGGGTGTCCTTCTCTCGCCCGCCAGGTTCAGTCGACATCTCAATAGGGGCAACGGTCGGGTTCTTGTCAGACTTCTGACACAACAGAGGAATGTCATCGAACAAGTCATCTTCGTCATCACAGCCATGATCGACTAATGGTACTTTCTTCAAAGCTAAATGCTTTATCCATCCCTTTTTAGCAGGTTTGTCAACCTTAGAGTGTTTTTCATGTTCACCCGGTGAGCTACCTCCACGGTGTCGAACCTTGGAGGGGACTTTCGAGGGACAAATCTTCTCAACATGCAACCCGAAGGCTTTCTTCAAAATATCATTAAATGGCTCGCCAAGATTGGTTTTTTAACCACTCGCCATCAAAGCACCTTTTGTGAAAAACGACCAAGGCTCTAAGCAAAGAAGAAATGCAAGGGCAAAGGCCACTGGTGACAACCTATTTATAGGACGACAGTGCACCAAAATCCAGGGAGTTTAATTATTAAATATTGATTGCAAAACTTAATGTAGTATTTAATGCAGTATTTAGCTTTTTTGTTTATGTCACAACTGTTGCTTACAAAAAATAATAAAGTTGGGGAACTAGATATGTATAACAGGATGGCAGCTGCACGAATCTCGAAGCAAAATATGAGTACATGACAAATGAAGTGGAACTGCGGTTAAAGTGTACTAAGATCAGTTAACAAACTAATCTAATTTATCAAGAAGAAAAAACAATGTCAAAGCACCTCATAACTTTGTTGGGTAGTTCGTCTAGTCAATGGGCCGATCGACATGGTGCTCGAACGAGAGATGGCCATAAAAGAAGTCCAACGAGAGACACAAAGCAACCCAAACGAAAGACATCCTACCACCAAGGAAACAAGGAAAGTGAACTAAAGTTTGTGGGGAAGTCATAGACAAACTTGACCAAGGAGTCTTCATATGACACCCACGTGGTCGGCCCATCACTGCTGAACGAATAAGTGTGTTCTAATGAGCGAAAGATTACCGTTGTCGGCCAATGATTTATTTATCAGCATACTTAAATATATTGTATAATTGACTTTAGTATCCCTAGGTTTTTTTTAATAAAGAGAGGGCATAAAGGTAATCGCTATTCCTATAAATAGGAGAGCATTTCTTGAGAAAAACTCTAGACACTCTTATTTTTACTGTTCATCTCTTTTCTCTTATTCATCCTCCCCTTGAACACTTTATTCCTTGGGTGTGATTCTCAGACATTTCTGAATTAAACAATATCCAAACATGAAATCAAAACTATAAATTTGGGGCATGTGATGTCTAGCTTATCGTCTATACTATAACTAATCCACCAATGACCAGCAAAGTAAATAATCTTAAAAGTTAACCATAGACAAAGCGGCAGAATAAACTTACAACTATAGCCATAAAGAAAATCATGATATACAACCAATATATTACATTATTTTAGAACCATAACTTATACTTTGTTAATTGAATCTGACACCACGAGAATAAACAAACATGTACCTCAACTAGTGGTGAAAGTTTGCCAGTGTTTTTGCTGACCTCGGGCAACCGCAAGAAGATGCAACGGACTAGCTCATGCATCGTATTGCGGGAAATCCTCTGTAGAAGCTCTCCTTTAGTCCCAGCCTGATTGACAACCCGAAAACAGGTGTTAACAATGGTGCACACATGCTGGTTGCTGAGAACCATCGATGCCCGGCTCTTCATGCAAGCCAGAAGCACCTGCAGAATCTTCATCAGCACCGCCTCTTCTGACGACGGATCGGTGACCTCAAACCGGCAGCTTGTAACCGCATCCACCACAGCGTGCATAGCGTCGTCGACGTGGGCAGTCCTGGCGTCAAAAACCTCAAGGGTGAGAATTTTGTGGACGGAAGAGAGGGCGACACCGGTGATCGGAGCACCAGTTTCGTCAGAGCGGATGACGTCCAGAAAAGGGCGGAGATACAGAATGGGGTCAATGGAACTCCATCTGCTGGTATCCCAGGAGAAGAGCTGGCGACGGAGAGATTTGAGAGATTGAATCAGGGAGTGATCGAGGTAGTCATCTGCGGCGGACGCGTAACGGCCGCTCCAACGGACGTTACGGCGCATGACGGCGAGGACGGCACTAACCTCCGAGTTGATCATGCAGGCCAAGGCGTGGCCGGAAGAAGAGCAGGGGGAATTAGCCGGCGGATCCTTGGGGGTTTGGTCGGTGTCACCGTCGGCAAAGGATTCCTCGTCGATGGGGTTTATGCCAGGATTCTGGAGTCGGAGGCGGCCCATTGTAGTGGATTGAGTGAAGTTTGGATTGGGGGATTTCAGATTTGAGAAGATCGGATCTCTTGAAGAAAGAAGACAGATCTCACGCAAAACCTATAAAAAGCGGGGTTTGTTTTAGTACAAGGAATCGGTACAATTGGAGTAGGAAAAAACTAATTGATAAGGAGAGATGTGATATGGCGAGCAGCCATTAGAGATCTGAGGGCCGAGCTAGAGCAGGGAATCTCCATTTTCCGTCCCCTTTCCCTTCCCTTTCCCGTCGAAGTCTCATTTTCAGTTAATTCCTGGATTTAATAATAATAAATCCGTCCGTTCGTCGGATTTAAAAGATATAGTGGAAATAAACAAGCCAAGGCGAGAAAGGCGTAGAAGTACTCGCCTACAAGCCTCCGCCCCGACTTCTAGCCTCGCCGGAAAGCTCCAACGCGACTCCCGTCGCCACTTCTCGTTCACCTACAAGCTTCATCGCGATTGCTTCGTAGCAGATCTTTTCTTCACAAACTAGCCCTCGGTTTTTTTATATTTTTTTTCTCATTTACTTTTTATCGGCCACTCGAGTCAAAGCTGTCCTTCAAGTCTATTTCAGTTTGCGGGATAAATTTGAACTTAACACGGTGAATGGCTATGCTATTCTTCAATTTTCATCGTGAGTGATGCCTGCTAGAAAATTTGCGGCGGTAGAGTAATGGATTATCGTCTTAGCGTTGTAAGAAAATTCAACACATACTCAGATAAAAATGAATCAAATTATAATAACACCAGAAGTTTTTACGTGAAAAATTCGTAGAAAGGGAAAAACCACGGGGTCTTGCCCAGTTGTAAAAATACACTATAAGATGATGATTACAGATGTCCCTTGTCCCACAGGTGAGAAAGGGTTACTAGCTATCCACGTTATAACGTCGACTGATTACGTCTAGTAAACGGTGGTTGACGGAGGTTAGCGGTGATCGGCGGCGTTCAACGGTGATCGGCGGTGGTCGACGATCGTTGTCGACGATCGGTGGTGGTCGACATAGGCTTGAGAGAGACTTGAGGCTTTGAGAAAGAGCTCAAGTCTCTTAAGTTCTCTCTTAAGCCTCCTCCCCCCTTCAAGTGTGGGGTGAGGCTCTAATTATAGTGTTTTGAGTGCAATTAATGCAGGAATATGAATCATTTTGATCGGACGGCCCAGAGAGCTTCCATTGATCAGATGACGTTTGATGGACATTTGAGTGTCTTAACGATGTCGGAATTGAGCAATCTTGGGCTCGTTGGATTCGTCTTTTTGAGACGCTCGATTCGATTATAAACTTGCTAGATTTGACATCCGTTTGACCTTTCAAATGCCTTCAAAATTCCAATAGTGGTTTAATGACTTGATCCAGGCCTGATTTGACTCGGATTGGACTAAATTTTATATGATTAGGTCTGTCTCATCGAGCTGATCAGTTTGACTATAATTTTGCTGAAATCGAAGTTCCGGATGACTTTTAATCAAAGTTTGAATGTCTCTTATTCAAAAAAATTGCACTGAGATTCGTGCCGGTTAATAAAAATTGTTGGTGGCGTATCAATTGCCCCCTATTTTCGGGCGAAATCATTTTTTGTTCATCATCCGAAAATATAAATTTAAAACACGCCTTCATAACTTTATATATATATATATTTATATATCATTTTTTACTCAATGCTTTTGACGGCTTTTTAATAATCTGCCTTCTGATAATCTTGATTATCCTTTTAATTACCCGCATAAGTGATATTGTCTTAGCACAATTTAATATTGGAATGCCAAAATTAATATTGGAATGGCAAGCGATCAGAAGTCGAGAAACGGGATCGGTGAAAAGCAATATCTTTTTTTTTTTTTTTTTTTTTAAAAAATTTTTTTCACGCCCTTCTAATAATTTTTAATTTTTTAATTTGCTTTGCTAATCCTTTTAATTATCCGCATAAGTGTGATTGCTTTAACACAATGGAATGCCAAACGACGGAAATGGACGAGGCGGAAGCAAGATCGGCGAAAAGAGAACTGAACAGTAGAAGTGGAAGCGAGGATGCTGGAGGGGAGTTGAATGATCATTTTTAATTATTTTAATAATTAGCATTTAACAATTCAAACTCTTTTTCACCCTATAAATAGGGGCTGGAATGAGAGGTGGAGTCTTCAGCTGATCCAGGACTTCCCAGAAGAAGAAAATCATCATGCGCAGCAGTGAGAAGTTACGGTGAAGAGTTGCGGTACAGAATTGCGGCGAAGAGTTGCGGCAAAATGTTGCGGCGAAGCGTTGCGATGAAAAGTTGCGGTAAAGCGTTGCGGCGAAGAGTTGCGGTGAAGCGTTGCGATGAAGAGTTGCAGTGAAGCGTTGCGGCAAAGCGGAGTTGCGGCGATGCGTGGCATGGAAGAGTTGCGGCGAAGCGTTGCGGTAAAGCGTTGCGGTACAAATTTGCGGCGAAGAGTCGCGACAAAGTGTTGCGGTGCAGATTTGCGGCGAAGTGTTGCGGTGCAGATTTGCGGCGAAGTGTTGCAGTAAAGATTTGCAAGTGCAGATTTACGGCGAAGAGGAAAGTCGTCCCCGTCATGCATAGCAGGCAAGCAACGGGATCTTATTTCTCGTTGCGACAAAGAGGAAAGTCGTCCCCGTCCTGCGTAGCAGGCAAGCAACGGGATCTTCTTTCTCGTTGTGGTGAAGAGGAAAGTCGTCCCCGTCCTGCGTAGAAGACAAGCAACGAGATCTTCTTTCTCGTTGCGACAAAGCGTTGCGGCAGGTCGTTGCGGCGACACAACGCATTGCGAGGAAGAATTGCAGCGACGCGACGCGTTACGGCGATGCGTCGCGGCAATGTGTTGCGGCCTGATGACGCGTTGCGGCGGTGCATCACGACAACACGTTGGACGGTGCATCGTGGTGGTGCAACACATTGGATGTCCAATGCCACCTAAGAAGGGTACCCTGGGGATAAAACGT